AGCTTTTCGGCTTGGGGCCCACCCCCGGAGGGGCCCGTAACCCCATATTTGCGCCCCTGGCGGGTGGCACCTACCTCCCGTAGTACTCACAGGGCAGTTAGAGTACTCTTTTTGGGTCTCAGATGTTCGATATATTTCTCGCTCTCTCTCGCTCGCTCTCTCGCTCTCTCTCTCGCTCTCTCTCTCTCTCTCTCGCATTTCTCACTGTTGTGCCCATTGTCTTAAAATCGCTAAGGTTTAGCGTCAAAAGTTCTGAAACAATTTTTTTGCTGGATTACGACTGAAAAGCCCTTTCAAAGCCCTTTAAAAGGTCCCAAATATTTTTGGAAACTTAGTTCTTTATTTGAGTGGATTCGGGCTGTATTTTTTGAAAAGTTTCGACTCCACAATAAAAGAACTTTTTTCACCGAATACGCTTGCATCCGACATTCTAAGGTCGATTCTCCGGTAATTCCCGCAAAAAATGTAGGTTTCAGAGATTTCCTACCTGAATCCGGTCTGGCTTCCCGTAATTCTAGCCCATAGTCGTTCATACCTTCCGCAATTTTTTATTTAAAAAATAGTAATTTTTTTGGCGTCGCTTATCTCTTTAAAAGGTTGATATTTTTTCAAGGACTGTTTTACAACTGAAAATCTAAAATTTAATTTAACCTGGATAAACCAGGTCCAACCGGAAAAAATGTTTCAACAGTTTAAAGTATGGCGAAGTACGGCGTATCGCCAAGACGATTCTGTGTTGTGTTTTTGTGGTTTGAGCTTCCCTTTAATTTTAAAAGCAAAAAAAATTTGGAAATTAATAATTTAAAAAGGTTTCGGCGCTTTAACGGAATAATTCCACCAAAAATCGATTAATTCCGATCCGCGCATTGCGTACAAACCTAATTAATCCTGCCGCATCGCAAAATTAGCATAAACTCAGCCTTCTTTATTTCTAGGAATTCTAGGAACCCGCCATTCCGCAGGGCTACTCTAGCCGCCCCACCCCACCACTGACCGCTTTTTGTATCGTTGCGTAGTGGTGGGGCGAGTTTTCGGTCCCCTCCCACCGCCCATAAAATTCGTGCAGTGGCGTACCCTGAGGGCATTCAAATGCCGACAAATGTCCTTTTCTCTCTCCCTCTCTCTCTCTCTCTCTCTCTCTCTCTCTCTCTCTCTCTCTATCTCTCCCTCTCTCCTGATCCACTCGATTCGTACCTGTTTGCCGGGGGGTAATCGAGTTTAAGCGGACCGTACCCTAAACTGGTCGGCGTATTTCTTTACGTTATTTATATGTTCTTATTTATTTAGTAGTTAGCTTTATTTTCGAGTGAAAAAATTACATACATGCAATCCCTCGATTTCAAAAAATATATGTTACATTTTTTCTGATTTTAGGAAGTGTTCAAACCTTCCATTACATATGTATTGGGGCATTAATGTTTTGTTTTTAAAATCCCAAATAGAGGGGCAACTATTTTAAAATACACTTTTTAATACCTTAAATCTCTAAAAAATTGTGTTTCATCAATACTTGAATTCAAAAATTTCTTGAAGCCATTATTATTCGGCGCGCCTTATCATGCGTAAGTTTGCTACGCCATCTCAACAAAAAGTACGTTTCCAAACTATGGCAATATCGTCGGGTTTTTACCTACATATTCGTGCTTTTCTTACCGTGTAGACACGTCGAAAACAATCATAATCTAATTTTTTTGAAAATCGACGTTTCGAAAATCCATGTTTCTGAAATCTTTGACGGTTTTAATTCCTTTTCGCTTTAATTGAGGTTACTGAGTCTTTCTCATTTTTCGAATACCATGATAAAATGTGGAATGAGACCGAAATGGGTTTGATCAGTATTCGCCCTAAAGAAATAATTTTCTTGAGTCAATGGAAGGACGGGCGAATATCCCAATACTTTCCTATTCTTCGCTTTTTAAAGAATTATTTAAAAAATGGAAATGTGGGTATAAAGAATTTAACCTATAACATGAGCAATCATGCCAAAAGTATGTTTCACGAAGATACTTTCAACATCGTCTTTGTTCCGTACTTTTGTATAAAAACCTCATGCCCTGCGGCCTTTTTCGTTCCTTTCAAGACTGCGAAAAAAGTGTTTCGTCAACGTTCCTTTATCCGAAAAATTTATTTACCTTTAATTTGATATACATGTTTCACCATCAATATTTCATTACTTTTCTATTCTTCCTCTTTTTCTATTCAATTTAACCATCACAATTTTAATTTCATATGTTTAACTTTTCAAGTAAAATCACGACAGCCCCAATCGGAATGCTGTCGTGCGCGAGTCGGCAGCTTAATTGCGGGCTCACGTCGCAGATCCGCCCGAAGAGCGCCCTTTTTGCGCAGCAGCAACAGTCAACGGGGCCCGAGTATGGGTGGGTGCCATTCATGCGTGAATTGATTTCGCGCTTTATGAAGCTTATCTTGGTCTTTAAGTGTTTTCAACTTCATGGAAAGATGATGAAACCTCTCTTCAGGAAATTTTTATTGTGGGAAAAATGTTTTGTAACTGGAATTGACCAAATCTTGGTTTTTACCTTTAATGCTATCTTCATTCGAAAGGAGTTCAATTTTTTCGGACCGGAAATTGTTGAAAGCGAAATGTTGTGGTTTAATAACCTTTTTGCGATAAGATAACCTGGCTTGCCGTTTTAAAGGGACCGGCAGGGTATCTGGATGTGTATATGAATTTTTGTTGACCGTGAATTTTGACGATATTGAAATCCATAGCCGCTGATCCAGAAGCTTGCCTTTTACGTCCCTTTAAAACGTCATTTCGCGGTATCGATCTGCTTGCGAATCTGCATACCTTCTGAGGGCAGCACGGCCCGCGGCGCCAGTTTCCCATCATGTCTTTCGTAGTTTTCTCCGCTCTCTCTCTCTCTCTCTCTCTCTCTCTCGTTCTCTCGTTCTCTCGCTCTCTCTCGCCTCCCAAAGGGTATTCGGGTCCGTCCGCTCGATTGATCACACCGCGCTGGCGCGCGTATGCAAAAAGTGGTACCATCTGGTGGTTGCCCTTCGCTCCCCTGACATTCCCAGCACCATTGCCTCGAAAAGAAACGTTTTTTTTAAGTTACCGAGCAAAAAGCAAAAGAATTTCGCGGGCGGGGATCGAACCTGGGTAGTGTGGACGGGAGGCTAGAGCTTAACCAATGCACTACGCTTCAGTTAGCGCCCATAGAATTCAAATTCTGGCTGAATATCTTGAAATAAAGTGTTAGATCGCGACGGCTTAGTTATTAGTTGCAGCAAATTTTGCGGAAGTAATAAAAAAGACGAAACACACATTTTTCAAAAAATCACGATGGGTCGCGCGTTTTTGTACCTTCTATGTTTTAATCAGCAAACCGTCTTATAATATAGTTTTTATGCTAATAAAATTACATGAATTTCATGCAAATAAAATTCGAGAGCCTATTTTTTTTGGTAATTGAAAAGTAACGAAACCCACTTTTTTACACAGAAAAAGTTCGATTTCAGCAAAAAAACTCGACTTCGAAAGAGCCGAACCTAAAAATAGTATCTATACGGTTTCCGGCAAATATGAAAGATGATGCAGTTGCAAATCCGCCGAATTATTGTTTTTTTTTTGCCAAGAATCCTATTACCCAAGAACGAGTAACATCAGAATCTTTGCGTAAAAACCACAAATTTTTTGAACATTTGGTGCATTAAAAAATTATTAAAAATAAGCGTGACAGGCAAAAACAGGCATAAAATTTTACAATTTCATTGCTGAAAGTATTTTGGTTATTTTATAGCAATCAAAAACTACTTAAACCAAGATAAAAATACATAATGTATCACCAAAATGTATATTCCATAGACGGAAAAACGGATATTAATTGCCCCCTCCCCCCGCTAACAGTCCAGTTCCTTTAAATAAACGCCTGAGACCCCGATAGTTTTTGGCACTCGGCCGAGTGGCTAATTCCTCCTCCTCCTATGTTTTCCTTCAGAAAGTGAAAGGCCCGCCGCCGGGGGGTCATTTGGAGCGTGGTGTACGCTTGCGTAGTAAAGCGTTTTCGAGGCCACTGCAAAACTAATTAGCACCCCCCCAGTCCTCACTGGCTAGGGACAAAGAGCACATTTATTTTCGCGTACCCAACAACGTACTGGGGTGAAAATCTGAATTCGAACTGGTGCCGGGAAGCAGAATTACACAGACAAAAATTCTTCAATTGCCAAAAATTTTATGAAACACTTTTTAATAAGAAAAACTAAATTTTACTAAGAAGTAAAAACCTGTGAAAAAACGTGTATTCGTTTAAGGTTTGAATATAGATAATTTTACCCATTTAATTCTGTCTAAATTCTAGGTACATTCACCGTAAATTTAATTAATTAAGTGCTATACCAATTTACTTCGTGAATTACAACGTGATATCCAAAAACTAACCTTCTTAAATTTTCTCGTAATCGGTGAGCTGAAACACATTTTCGGCAAACATTTATTAAAATTTTCGTTGTTGTAAGGACAGCTTTTCCTTATTTTGCGAAATTTTTCAGTTTTAGATTCTTTGTAAATCAACTCTGCAAATTATTTAAATCTAAATTAAAGCATTTACATTAAATAAGCTAATTTTTTTAATAAATTTACTGCTTCCCAACTTCGATTTCCCCCCGAACACCTTGCTGACCTTGGGGCGATTTCGGCTGGTGCGCCCACCCTGGCGGCTAATAGGATAAGAATTGTCGGGGGGAGGGTATTTATTCCGGGGTGGCGCTGTATTCAAAGCGTCACTCCCAAAATCTGGGGCACCATTTGGGCGAACAATTCGGGCAGGGTTGGCTAAAATTTGGGAATGAAATAAAATGTTTCATCAACGATTGATACGCTCACCCAATAAAGATTACCTATTATTGTTAAAATTTTACATTTCCAAATTTCGTAAAAAATAATATAATCAATATTTCTGTTTGTACAAAGATCAGCGACCGCTTTGTTGAAAACCGTATGTTGCAGCAAATCTATTAGCCCGGCGACGGAGTAAATTATGATTCGGTTCCAATGGTTTAGATGGCTTCTTAACGTTAAACCTAGGACTTTTTGTGCATATATCAACTAAATAAAACAAAGCTATTTAGATTGATAATTAAAAACATGCGTAAAATATAAAATAACAAAATTACAAAAAAAAAATCAAAATTGTCACTTTTAAAAAGTATGTTTCACGCGCGGAAGAGTACGCAAAGTAAACCGAGCAAGCTATTCTGTCGACCTGTCGTTTCAAAAACGCGCAAAGTATCCAAACAAACGCGAAAAAATAAAATATACGAAAATAAAAAATTGGATTTAAAATCGTTTTTTTAAATATTATAAAAAATTTTTTTTTAGTGAGACGGCTGTGGCCCAGGTGGCCGCCGAGGTGATGCTCTTCCACGACGCGCAGAAGACGTGCGTTTTTATTACTTCCGGGTTTTATTATGTTTATTATTTTGTCTGAAATTTGGCGTAAATTCTAGGTTATCAAATGCGTAGAGTTATATAATTTTTCAAGCACGTAACTTGGAAACGTTTGGAAACATATTATTTCGAACAATGGGCCTTAATGCTTTATTTGCAAAACACGCCCTTTGATCTTTTGATAAAACATTGTTTTTTCCGATAAATAGCTAAAGTTAATTGGGTTATAATATTTTTAAGTGATGAAAAAATAATTTCAATATAATGATAGGCAAACCAAGATAATTAGTCAATTTTTAAAGGCTTGGAAACAACTCTTTTCTAGGCGGATCAGCTAAACTTTAATCGGGTTAGAATATTTATAAGTAATTAAAGGATAATTTGAATATAATAATAGTTAAAGCACCACAATTACACGATTTTTCACTGCTTTAAAAACACTTTTTCCAGGTGGATCAGCGCGCCGGGCGTGCCGACCAACCAGCCGTCGTGCGTCCAAATTCTGCAGCACAACCAGCAGCAGACGTTCCGGATAATTGCCACCCGGCAGGAGGTATCATTTTTGTAATAAGTAGAGGTATAAAAAACTCTTTTTTAAGCAATTAAAATTCAAAAAGTTAACGTGTTTTTTAAAATACTTTTGTGGCATTTAGCGGTAAATCATTGTGCTTTATTAAATTACGCTTAGCAAGACAAAAGTATGGAACATAAAATTATTGTCTGGAAAATAATGTTATAAATTTTATCAAATGGTTGGCTGGGATTAGCGATTAAAATATAAATTCGATTCAATTAAGATAATTAATTTGTATAGTATTAACAAAAATTATCAATAATTTTCCAAAAATATGTTGCAGCAACTCACAATATCTAGCCTAGCGAACGGCAATCAATTCCTGCTACATTTCTTTCAGCTTGCAAGCCTTAATTTAATGGAATAGATACTGTTTTTGTATATAAATTTTATTAAATTATATATAACAAATAAAAATATGTATAAATATCAGGAGAATTGATAAAAAATTGAAGTATCGCCGATTTTTATATTTTTTTGCAGGACGGCAGCCTGATCATGAACTGCCGGATACATCCGAGATTCAAGTACCACGCCGCCAGGCCGAATTTCCACCAGTGGCGCGACGACCTGAAGCAGGTAAGCAGAGGTTTTTGTGCTTTTTTGATGATTTCGGTGATTCTTATAACGAGGGCGAAATGCGTAAAAATGTTATATGTAAAATTTGTAATGTCTCTGAAAATTAATAAAATAGTTATTTCTATCAAGTGTTATTTTATTTATGTTTTTGTTGTTGATTTGGATTTATTTAATTTTAATTTATGCAGATGCTTTGTGTTCCAGGTGTAGCCTCACTTATCCGACTAGGGCAAAAGGCGGCGTAAAAATGTTTCATTGAAACATGTTAAAAACCCAATAATCGTTGCGCTAATATTCAGGAAGTTAATGTCTTCATTTTTATATATAAACTAACATAATAGTTATTCTTTTATCATTTTTTGAAGTTCGATAACAGCTATGGAAATCCTGCTAGGCCAAGGAGCACAAAAATATGTCATCCCAAATTTGTATACAATTGGATATTACTTGGCGTTATTCCTGAGTTTCCCCTGGCTTAATATTTTTAGAATTTCCTTGTTAGTAAATTTATGCATATACTCCTCGTTGTAGGTGTACGGCCTGTGCTTCGCCTCGGACCAAGACGCGCAGGCCTTCCAGCAGCGGATGGACTGGTCGATCTCGGTGCTCCAACAGCTCCAGCAGCAGATGACCAACGGCGAATACCACTGCCCAGGTAGGCTCGTTTTAATTTTTCGTTTAAAGCTAAAGAATCATTGCAATTTTTAAAAAAGTAATTTTAAAAATCCAGACAAATGGCAAAGGCTTTGGAATAACGCCTAATCGTATTTTTTCTTCGCAGCAACTGTTAACATCGAATTAACTGTTATGAAAATCCTAAGATAGGCCGATGGGATGCAACATGTTTTCTTAAAATCAAAACGTTAAATTGGATCACACTAATGTGCAGAAAAGATCCACCAAAAAAAATCCGACGGAATATTTACCCCGAAGACAGTTTTTTTAGAATTACTACTAGAGACTGAGATCTTGTTTCTTTCTTCGCTTTAATGCGGGGTGGTGAAACGGTAAATACTTGCTATGCCGAATTACAGTATGCCGATTATTGGTATGCCGAATTTTCGCTATGCCGAATTTCGCTATGCCAAATTTTCACTATGCCGAATTTTCACTATGCCCAATTTTCACTATGCCGAAATTCGCTATACCGAATTTGCACTATACCGAATTTCCACTATACCGAATTTCGCTATGCCGAATTTTTGCTACTCTACTACTATATACTCTACTTATATTAATAACTAATATTAATATGGCTGGGACTTTGCGGTCCAACAAAAAATCCTCTGCGCCTACGGGACCTACGATCTGCCCGAGTTTTTGGAAATTTCTAGGCTAACTCTAACCTTCTAGGCCCATGATATTTGAAAAAATAGTAAAAAAACGGGGAACATACCGCTTATCAAAATTCGGCATAGCGAAATTCGGCATAGCAAAATTCGGCATAGTGAAAATTCCGCATATCAAAATTCGGCATCGGGAATGGAACTCGGTGAAACATACCTATTTTGACGGCTTGAAAATATGAGTTTTACCGCAATCGGCTGTCAAATAAGAGGGCCTGGCTTAACAATGTCTATTGTTCGAATCTTTGAATTTCCGCAAAACTGCCGGTTACCGCCTCTTTTTGGATGCATGTTTCAGAAATTTCTCGTAACAGAATGAGGGTTTCTGACAATAATAATACACGAGCATAGCCAAACTAACAATGAATCTAAACGAGCTCTTTGAACTTAAGCGTGTTTTCTGAAATCCTGATGTTTCAAATATTTCTGAATAGATTTAATTTTCCCGAGACTTCAGTTTCTGGATTCGGACGTTTTTTCAATTCCTGGATTTTTAGAATTTTTTAGTTTCGATAAACCGAAATTTTATATTCAATTAATTTAGGGATTTCGGCATTCAAGTTTGTTTTTTTCGAGAAAATGATTTTCGACATGCTAAATTTTAACAAAATAAATAGGGCCCAATCTTTTTGAATTTTTCGCAACTTATTTGCCTGCCGGAACGGCGGTTAGAATAACCGCCCGCCATTGTTTGTCTGACATTTCCGAGGGTGGAAATTTTGGGGGCATTTCGGGTTTTGCACGTTTCAAATTTCCGTTTGCCCTGGGGACACGCGGTTTAGCGGGTACGCGACACGAGAATGCCCAGTCAAAAACACAACCCAAAAATTTGGCCTAATCATTTTTTTGAAAAGCTTTATTCTAATAAGATTTTTGGATCGGATGTTTGCCGTTTATTCAGCTTTAGCCGACGAGTATGCCATAAAATTAAAATGTTTAATTAAATTCTTTGTCATTCGTGTATTACATATTGTTTGTCGGCCTCGGCGGCGGCATCTATTTTTTACACGAAACATTTTTTATTTTAAAATTCATGAAATGAAAAAGGAATGAACAATCAATGAAAAAATGGATGCAAAATAAAATTTAAAATTCAATTATTAATATAAAGGAAAATTACGCTAATGAATTCGGTATAAATCCGATAATTAACAGTTTTCGATGAGTTAGAGAAAGAAAGCTGAGGATTCTATAAAAATCGTGGGGCACTACTAGGAAATTTTATGAATCATGTTTTTCTATCTCGAGCATTGGCGCTGCGAAAATTAAAAAATGTCCAAAAATGCCGGAAGCCGAAATATTTATGTTTTATTAAATTGCCTAGTGTCTTGCAAAAAAGTAATGGAATTGCATATTCTTGGGTGAGGTAAAGGCTGAGGAAAGTCGGTACTGTAGCTTACAAAAAACATGCGGCATCACTGTCAACAAATATCTATCAAAAGCTCTCTCTCTCTCTCTCTCTCTATCACTCGCTCTCTCTCTCACCCTCGCCTTTTATGCTATTGCTGTTTGTTAGTGTCCAGAGTACAGGCGGTGGCCTGTCCAGGGGAATGGCGTGTACTGGATTTTCGCAAGGGGGTCGGGTATTCTCGTGTATTTGCCCACCTTCTCGACGCCCATAAAAGCCGCACACCTCGAGCATGACGCCCTGATGGCTATGGCCGGGCTGCTGGCAAAAATGCGACAAGTTTTACACCTCCGGAGTTTTCTATGACTTCTTGACTTTGGTTTTTAAGACTAATTTTTATGTTACATTCAAAATGTCGAAAACGACGATGTCGAACTTCAAGATTTTCGACATTATGATTTTCGAGATTATGAAATTTCGACATAATGATTTTAGACATTAGCGTTTCGAGATGATCGAACTTTACCTTTTTTTAATTATGAAGCGTTCGAAGAAACAATTACCGTAGCTATTTATTCTCTTCCCCGTTGCTTTGATGAAATAAGGAGACGCAAAATTTAAGTAAATAGAAAAAATTAGTAAAGAAAATGTGTTTCAAAATTGACTTAACTTCTTAGTTCACCGCCTTCTCTAATCAAGACTCCGAAGAAGCCACGTTTGATCGTAAAAACAAAATTTCTCTTTCAACGCAGGTAAACGAAAATTTTGATGTTTCAAGATTATTCCTGACCCGCAATTCACGGCTTTGTTTAATAGCCAGATCATCGGGCTGAAGAAAAATAATTGCAGTAGGGTGCTTCACAGTTAATTCAAAACAGATTTTTTTTCTGATGGCCATTTACCAAAGCCCGCTAAAACCGTATACTTTTTTATGGGCTAAGCTTTTCATTGAGACCCCAATTTGTTAGTTTTTTCTCTTCCAAACCCCTTTAAAAATATTTTAAATCCCCGCAAAAATTGGCGAGGCCGGTCAGCAGACCGCCCGGTTGCTTGGAAATGTATTCTGGCGGCGCCCTAGACTCGGCCTTCCCCCAAAATTTCCCGAATTTTTCGGCTTCCCCCCCCCCTCGGGGCGGGTATGCATACCCGATTCTATAGAAGTAATGTGCCTGCCCCGATTTGCATTAGTTTTTACTGACATTTCTGGTTTTACTGCTTGTTAAAAACCTTTGCTAACTATTGAGTTTTTCAAAACGATGTTTCGAGGAAAATATCGGTGGCGGTTATAATTGAATTTTTACGGTGTCGAGGTGCCTGCGCATAAAAAAGTTTGGATCCGCAATTTTAGAGCTGGTAAAAAATTTTTTCAAAAATTCGCTTTTCTCTTCGCTAATTGATCAGTTCCGTCATCAATTAGTTGAAATTGCCGGCGGAAAACAATGTTTCAAAAAATTACCTTGGCTCGTAGCAACCCAGCATCTTAATTGGCTTATCCTTGATGCGTTTTCGACAAAATCACATTTTTACTGTGTAAAACGCCCGTCAAGTTGAGTTCATTAAATTAGATACCTTTACAGTTTACACGACAATTTTGATTCCAGGAATCGATACGTTTAGCTATGTTTTTTCGAACTATGGATTTTCGGCAAAGGCTTTGGCCTGCATTCAGCGGAAGATTAGGTAGAACAGATGAAACCGATTACCAAAGGTTAAGGAAACTGTTTCAAAAAAGTTCCTCTATCACGAAGCAAATAAACGTGGAATTTAGCCCCGGCGAATTTCGTATACCAGCAGAACTCGACAAATAGTGTTTATAAAAAGGAAACAGCTTCTGTAAATATTTTTAATTGAAGTTTGTCGTGCTAGACTTGTATTCGATTTCCCAAAAATATATTAAAAAGATTTTGTTATATTTTAGGAAACAATGTTTTATAGATTATCCTCAGTAGTGAAAGTCACAGCTAGCCAATTTAGGTCTTCGTCAGGCCATCTCACTACAAGTATTTTTAATAGGGTACTAGTAATTTTTCCGGCGAAATTTTGATTCTAATGTTTTAAAGCGGCGCCAATCCCTCAAACCTCATTCAAAAAAGTTGGAAAAATGATGTTTCGGATCAACGCCTAGACCGGCAAATTTCCTTCAATATAATGCCAGTTTGCTTGTCGCAAAGGCCGTAGCCTAAAAAGTAGTGCAAAACATAAGAAAATACCCCGCAAAAACGGGCGTAAAATAGGGTGACAGCGGAAAGGGGGCAAAGCCGAAAAGAGGGCGCACTAATACCCGGAGGGCTTATCCCACCCGGAGGCCTATTTTTCTGGGCTCTTCTAATGGCCACTCAGCCACCCGGGGTCCCACCTGTGACTTTAGTAAAGTAATAAAATTTCAAATAATGTTTTTTATATAAATTTCCAATTCCAATTTCTATAAAAATTCGCTGCAACCGTGTTTCATAATGAATTCCAGATGTTTATTTACAAATAGAGGCTTCAAAAGTTGGTTCCCATATTTTAATAATGGCATTGGGTGCTTTTTCATTATCGGGGGAGGGGTGGTCATGGGGGAGCGGAAGTTTTCGTAACTTATAGCTATTTTAAAGCAAAAATATTATTATATTCCAAACCGGAAAACCTCGAAAAAATTAACTAAATTTGAAAGCTGAGATTTTGGTCGAAAACGTCAGTTTCTCGTCCCAAATACGAAAGCAGCATTTTTTTATTGAAACTTAGCGGAAACACAGGGTTTTTTGCGTTCTGGTATCGGAAAAAATCTGCTAAACTGTTTCTCTTTTTCGCTCCCTCTCTCTCCCTCTCTCCCTCTCTCTCTCTCTCTCTCTCTCTCGCTCTCTCCCTCTCTCTCTCTGTCTCTCTGTCTCTCTCCCTCTCTGTCAACCTGTTCCTTAATCTCCCCCACCTCTACGTCCATATCTTAGCGTATGGCGTGCGGGGACGCTCCGGAAAAGT